CCCAGGAGAAGGGAAGGATTTAAGGCCCAAAGTCCCCCTGCACCTGCACAAAGCCGGGGCGAACGGAGTTCAAACCCCCAAAGAAAAGCCCTGCTCTCCTTCCCTGGGGGGGCTCCTCTCCCAAAACTCATCTCCAACTTCCCCCCTCACTCAGCCCAGCCCTTCCTGCACGCCCTTTAACCCTTCACAGCCTGGAGAAGGTGGGGATTGTCCCCCTGCCCAGCTGGATCCAAACCGACCCAACTCCAGCAGCTCCCAGGGGCGGGGGGAGTGGGCACGAAGCACAAAAAGAACGAAATCCAGCAGAAAACTGGACTGCACCTGCCTGGAGAGAGCTGTGGGGAAGGAGGGGGGCTCTGCTCCAGGAAGGAGAGGGAATTTATCCGGGATTTGCTGCCCTGGGACTTGGAGTGCCTTTGGAACATCCACTGGGAACTCGCCCGGGTTTCCCTCAGCGGGGTGAGAGACAAACTCTGCTCCCATTCCCTCCTCGCTCTGCAAATTAAACTTTTCCTCCCTTTCTCCACTTTTACAGGATAACAAATTTGGCATCTGACATCTCCACAACCCCTCGGGCTGCACAGCCACCAGACCTGGCTTTGTTCTCCTTCTGGATGGGGATTTGCAACCCCTCCACGCCTGCACAGGGAGCCGGGGAATTTGGAAGCTCTGTGCCACTGCCCAGAGGTCCCCACACCAAAAGCTTGTGCAGGTGGCTGTGGGAATCCAACACCTCGCTACCTGGAGAGGAAACACTGACAAATGAGCAAAAATGACTTTTTGTTTCACAGGCAAACCAACCTCGTCTAGCACACAACGACTCTTCCGAGCAGCTCTCGAGTCCGACCGACACCAAGAGTGCAAACTACTGAAAGTTCCCCAAAGGAAGCAGGAACAAAGGCATGCTTGGACAGGGGAAAAGCGGGATAAAACACTTTTGGAAACAGCCATGGCATGCTGAGAACGATCTCCACGGAATCGTTCCCACTCTACACTACTCGGCACTGATCCCTCAAGCTCTGTCCTTGCCCTCCCCACCCCAACCCGTCCATGCTTCAACACCCCAGAACAAATTCCCCTGGGAGCAGACTGGGAGAAAACAGAGTTCCTGTGCTCCTGTCCAGTAGTCAAACTTGGATAAATAGATCAGGGGGTTACAGGATCTACTGGTATGGTTTTCCAGGAATACAAAACGCAAGCACCGTAGAGCATTACTGGCCTTGGAATTACATTACACAACATTTCCCTGATGATCTCCACAGCTGAAAATGCTTTTGGGGCCACACGGAAGTCTAAAACTAACCTGCAATAGTAAGAACATTAAACAGGAATAAAACTGTTAATCATGAATGCATGATGAGCGTGAACACCCACATAACAGCAGAGCTGAGACTATTTCAGGAAAAACAAAAAGAGAATCTGAGTGGTGCCCTGATTGGACCCGGTACCCGTGAACCCATCCGCTGGGTGAGGCTGCAGGTGCAGTGTCTCTGCTCTCCCAAACCCCTTCCCAGCAGGAATCAGCCTCTGGAGAAGCCCCACAAGAAGAGAAGAAAGAGCCATCAGCAAGAAAATTAAAAAAAAAACCCAAAAACCCTGCTCAGACCCAAGCACATGGCTTTCCCTGCAGGGAACAACTGCTAATTGCTTGGAGCTGCTCAGCTAATTAGCATTTCAGGCCAGGAAAATCCTGCTGGACACGGGCAGCGAACCGAAACGCCGCCCCCAGGTCCTGTGAGAGTTCAGGTTTCCCATCCCTGGAACTCCCCGGGCTCGAGTGTCCCCGTAAGGAAACCCTGGTGGGGAAAGCAAACCTCAAAACCGAGAAATGCTGTCAGGAAAACGGAGCCAGCCCAGGCAGCAAAGTGACTCCAGAAGGTTCCTGCTGAATGCTGGAGTGTCCCTGGCACACAGATCACCCAGGAGGAACTGCCAGCACCAGCTGAGCCCGGCTCCCAGGGCACACGGGATGTGCAATCCCTGAGCAGCACAACAGCATCCCTGGGGTCTGCCATGATCACAAGAAACATTTCTCCTTTTCTCGCTTTTTTTCCCCTCCCCTCTCCTTCTCCAAGGTTCAGCTTTCCTGGCGTAACCAACACTGAGGGCTTCAATAAAACCAACATAAAAACAAAAAATGTGCAGCAGCACCTCCACACCTCCACCTAAAACCATTTAAAACCAGCAGAATTAGGTGCACAGCTCTCTCCAACTCCCAAAATCAGCAGGATTTGCCCCAGAGACACTAGACCTGGCTCCCACCACCCACAGCAGGAAAAGCTTTTTTTTTTTTTTTTTTTTTCTTTTCTTTTTTTTTTTTTTAGATCCGTCTCAGCTCTGGTTCCAGAATTTAAATGCAGATATACAAAACATATATTTTAATGCTTCTTAATCAGCAAGAAACTGCAAATACATCTTTGACTACAACTAGATAATATAATTTCAGCTAAGGCTATACTGTAGCTTCCGAGTCTTCGTCTGAACTCCTGCAGTTGCTGCTTTTCCTGAAGCCTTTCCACGTGTACCCCAGGAAGGTGGGGCTGATGGGCAGGAAGCTGAAACACCTGTATTTTTTAATGAAGTTCATGCCAAAAGGCAGATCATACGTCTCCATGCCTTCCAGGGATTTGCTTCCCTTACCGACCCCTTTCTTCCATTTCCGAATTCCCCTTTCTTCAGGGCTCCCTAGGAATCAAAATAAAGAATATTCATGGATATTTTTATATGGACACACAGGCCTAAAGCAGAGGCTGGAAGAAGGAAGAAAACACCGAGTTCAGCAAAGCTCTGGGAAGATCTTCCAGGCTCCTCACAAAGGGAAAACCACATCAGCTGCTTTATTTTGTAACCGGGAGTTTTTCCAGTCACAAAAGCAAATTTACAAGGCAAACATTTCCTCTTGGCTCGGAGCAGGTTTGGATCTCAAACCTGGTTTTACTGGAGACTGGTTTGGTTTTTATCAGCTCTTTTAGGTGTTTCAGAGGGATTTTAATGGGATTTTAGGCTGGGAAGGATTCCAGGTGTTCTCAGGGGAAGGGAGGGCAGCTGTCAGGACTCTGCTGCTGTGAGGACAGCCAGCCCAAAAACAGGGATCTCCTGCTGCTGTTCTGCCCCAGGGGACGCTGCTTTTAGCCAGGGAATTCTGATTTTCATCCAGGGAATTCTGCCTTTCCCCAGAGAATTCTGCTTTTAGCCAGGGAATGCTGCTGTTAGCCAGGGAATGCTGTCTTTATACAGGGAATTCTGCTTTTTCTCCAGAGAATGCTGCTTTTATCCAGGGAATTCTGCCTTTCCCCAAGGAATTCTGCCTTTCTCCAGAGAATGCTGCTTTTTCTCTAGGGAATGTTGCTTTTCTCCAGAGAATTCTGCTTTTTCTCCAGGGAATTCTGGAATTCTG